TCTCAATATGGTGCATTAACCAAATTAAATGATGATAATTAAATGTATAGTTATGCATCTAAATTAGAAAGAACGTATATTTATAAATAGTTAAACAGCTAGTTAAACCAGAAATAAACGAAAGGTTATAAAGTGATCTCTATGAAACTTGGTGATTCTAACTAACCAATCTGAATCGGCGGTTTAACCCTAATAAATTTTAGGTTCAGCGCCAATGTTTTAAAAAGTTATTTTTTTTAAATATTTTTTTAAAAAAAAAACTAAAAACAATTTAAACCGTTTTTTTTTAACCCTACCTGTAACTGAAAATAATTTACTCCGATAACCCACGTAAATTAATAATACCCGAATAGGGATTTTCTCAATGGGCTCAATCTCTAGTATTTTACGGCTCTTTATGGTTGGTGTTAGGATGATCATTATAGCTGCTTTTTATGATCAGTGTGAGAAAGTTCGTATTATAAAAGCCTTAATGGTTAGTGTTAGGATGTTAAAGTTCGTATTAACCCCTCCTATCTTTTTTTATCGGCATGCTGTAAATCGTTTCCGATAATGTTAATTTTAGACGTATATCGTCTTGTTTATTGGCTATAATTTTATTTGTGATCCGCCACATTTCCTTTTAAGCTAAAACGGAAAGGATTTTCGTCAAGTATTTTTATATTGGATTTATCTGATATTGTGAACCGCAAAAATCCTGAATATAACCGAATCACCGTACCGACCATTATACCAACTAATTTGTCACCTCTATTTGTTTAATTTTAGGGGGGATCTCAAGGGATGGAGGGGGGATAACGTTAAACGAAAGTTTAACTTCAAACGGCCTTATTGGCAAATCATTTGTAGTTCATATCGGCGAATTTACGGAATTAACCTAAATACTATTGTAAAACCGACCCTAAAATTTCAGCTATAATGCATTCTGCAATTGTTAAATCCAGGTACGTACTTTAATTTAGATCCATTCCGCAAATCCGCCGATATGTAGTGCCCCAAAATGAAGTATTTCCACTTCATACCACATAAATAGCTACTTTTAAGTAAACATTATGCCTATATTGGTACGTATGTACTAGAGTGAGCTCTAATATAATTTTATTTCTTTTTTATAATAATAAATACGTACTAAGCTAAAAGATTAATAAATATTGTTACTAAAGATGGTCCAATATGCATTTTGCATCAGTAATAAGTACTGCTTAATAAGACAAAGTCCGACGTAATTTTATGATTTCATTAATCTTTGCACTTAGCCAATAGTGGGTTCGGGCTACGAAATACTTATGCGGTTAAAACCATTTAAAAAGGATCTAAAATTTTCTAGATAATAAATTAGTGCGTACTGAATACTTAAAAAATATTGAGTTATTTTCAACGAATAATATAATGGTTTACGCTGAGATTTTTTGTCTATTGCTTTTTGTTACGTTTATAATTCATTTAATTAAGCGACCTCGATTAGGTGTGGTATGTTTCACTTTATGTTATAATTATTAAATTTAACGCTTTTTTTTTTTTTTTTTTTGAGATAATATTTTAATTAATTTAATAGAATGAACCACCATTAGTACCTTATCGACTTCCAATTATTGGGCATACGTACAGCTATATATTCGATACTGAAAATTTATTTAAAAAGTGTAAAAATGTAATCAATTATTATCAATTATTATACAGTATGCTCCTTTGATTTCATTTTTTCTAATATCAATTTTTTAAGTACGGTGACACATTTAGTTTATACGTCTTTGGAGATGTAAGAACTTTTACAGGTGCTGAAACCGCTTATGAAGTCCTAATGAATAATAGCATTTTTGATTTCCATTTGGCTGTAGAAAAGGTAGACATCTATGTAGTCATAGAAATTTTATAATCCAAACGATTATATTTACAGCTTATGCATTTTTATTTATTTATGTATTTATTTATTTATTCTTATCATAACAGTTATTTCCAGCATCAGAAGTCTTCTCTAGATACTTAAAAACTCCATTAACATATAATCACCAGGTGGCCTATGAACAATTAAGTGCTAAAATTGATTTATACACACCAAAAATTCAAAAAAGCCTTGTATTAGGAATTGAAAAATATTTTGGTGACTGCAAAGGTATTTCTTTCTTTGTTATTACTTGAAATCAATATCTGGTTTTCACCAAAATTAATGAGAAATTATTTATCAGAACCAAAAAGTTTTAAAAATATTCATGAGATATTTTCACAAATAATTGCTAGATCTGTTGCTGAAGTTTTTCTTGGTGAAGTAAGTTTTTATAAAATTATAATTTTCCATTATAGAGTAATTTTAATCAATACTTAATTATAAAGGAAGGAGCTCAATTTGAAGATATTGTGAACTCATTTTCTCAAGTAGAAAAGGATATACACAGCTTTAGAAAGATTCCCCCAGTTTTATCATTTATTCATCCTTCACTTCATATGAAGGCTGTTACGTACTGTTATCGTCCAATAATTTATTTATAAATGGTTGCTTTCATAAATAAATCAGTTTAAAAAATAGATTTTTTTTAATAGGTTACCACTAAAAATTGGTTGGAATCCAATCAGTAAACATAGAGATCTTTTTGGTCGACGTTTAAAGCCAATTATTGAAGAACGTTTTCATCAAAGAAAAGAGCTTGGTAATAAATATATTCAGAAAGTATGTTACTTATATTTCAAATCTTTTAATCTACTTTGTAAATTTTTTTTTAATAAATGATTCTTTAATAAATAGGAAGATTTGCTTGATTTCCTTTTAAGTGAACCAGTTTTTAAAACTGATATTATTGATGATAAATTCATAGATAGTTTATTTGGAATAATTTATGCATTAGTTTTTGCTTCGATTAATACTACTACTAGATTTTTTACATTTGTTCTTTTTGGTAAAAAAAAAGTTGTTTTTTTTACCTCTTATTTAATATAGTTTGGAAGCTAATCTAAATTTAATAAATTAGATTATGCTGGAAGACATGAATTTTGGAAGGAAATCTATGAAGAACAATTAATAATACACAATGAGACAAATGGTAATTTAGAGGTTGATGATGTTGATAGAATGGTTAAATTAGAGTGCTTTATGAAAGAATCCTCAAGATATTCTTCGGACTTAGGTAATCATCATTGTATGACTTTAATAATTTAATATTTAATAATGTTTAATCATACAGAATATATAACACCATTTGTTCATTATTACTTAGTTGCATTGCCACACATTATGGTCAATGATTCATATACATTTAAAAACGGCGCTACTATACCAAAAGGTATGTTTATTTTGAAATTAATTTATTTATATTTTAGATCTCGTTGTGATAAAACCAGTCATTTATTGCATTAGAACATCTTTGCTATTATAAGTCATTCCCATTATAGTGAAGTAACAATTTGATTAATAAATTTTTTAAAAAAAATTTACTATATTAAAAGTTTATTAGTAAATTCACTATATCGAGATAATTATAAATGAATTGGCTTTGAGCCTAGCTTTAATATAACAAGATAATTATATATACTGTATAAATTGGGTTTGAGTCTAGTTCTAACTTGCCACCTTGACTCCAGCCTTGATTAAACTAATATATTTAATATTAAGCGTGTTTTGATTTCATGCTAACAATTTATTTATATTTTTCAATGATTTTATTTAACAATCATACAGGTCGTTTTGTTTTTGTCTGCATGAAACATATAGCTTTCAGTGATAAACTCTTTGGAGAAACATCTAATAACTTTCAACCTGAGAGATATATAATCTCATCTTCTAACGGAAAAATCATTCACTCTCCAGCTACAAAAGTTGATAAAACTAATTTAATATTTGGTGGTGGTAAACGTGCATGTCCTGGTAGATTTTTTGCTATTAATGAAGCCAAAATATGTCTGCATGAATTGATTTTAAGGTATAATATTAGAACTAAAAGTGGTAAAGTTGAATCTATGAGAACAATATATGGTTTTTCCTTCCCCCCGGATTCGGAATTAATATTTGAAAATCGTAACTAGTAACTTTTTTGTTGCAGGCTAATTTTAATAATAAGTATTTTTTATTTTTTGAAAACCCTTGGCATGAAGCCTAGGGACGCCATTGGCGTACGGTTTAAAACTTGAATACATATATTATTATGCAAATATATTTAAATTAATTAACTTACTGAATTTAAATCAAGATTATAAATATTTTGTCGATTTTTAATACTCTATTAAAATCAGAAAGTGTTACTTGATGTTTACCCAACCATCTATATGATTAACTAATGTATTAACATTATTGAGTTTAATTTTTTTAATAATCTGCTAAAATCCGAAAGTGCATTCTTATGCTTATTCAACATATTGTAAGCTTCACCATGTAATCTTGATGCATATCATTATATGATGTGATTTCTAGTAGTCTATTGAAATAGAAATTGCTTCCTAATACTTACCCATTTTTATACAAGTAATTCCACGATGAATTAATACGTCAGCATTATCTGACTTTATTTCTAATGATTTATAGAAATCTGAAAATGCTTCATGTCTACTTAGTGTTTCATAAACTTCTCCACGTTTTTCAAGAAGTATATGAACGTCCACAGGTTCCATTTTTAATAAACTATTAAGATTTGAAAGCGCTTCAACGCATTTATTTAACACTTTATGCCGTGTTTGAACGTAATAACGCACATGTACGTTATTTTGGACCCATTTTTTTTTAAAAAAAATTAGCTGCCCGATACGAAAGTGTCTCGAATCGATCACAGGGCATTGTAATTGGTTAGTGATACATTGTCTTGATTTATCGTATGATCTTGTCGTTTAATGCATTGTAGAATTGTCGAATGATTTTGCTACGTAATGAGTAGAATTTGCCATTAGTAATTGTTAGTAGTATTTAATACAGTGTGTTAACTGGAAACTGGAAACTCACTGGACGTCTTGATATTTCCAATTTCCAGTGGTTCCAGTGAAGCTTTCACTGGAACTGATATAATACTAGCCAATAAGATTAGAATAAGAATTAAGGTTATAATAAACACGTGATATGCCTGATATCCAATTAGTTGCAAGAATACTTTTCATTTTACTATTACATGTAACTCGAAAATAGAGAATTCTACTGGTAAAGCAAACACCCGTGACTTATATCCATAATTACCACAAATTTTTATTTAACTACTATTAAAATTAAACCAAGTAAAATTATACAACTGGATAGCTGCGCGACATCATCGCGCAAAACCAGGAACGGGATTATAAATAAAGATTTGCAAATTCTGGATCGATTGAGTCTGTAATTTCGATATAATAAAAATAATTTAAGACCCTGAGACTAATAGAAGTATTACAACTTTAGTACGTACACTTTGTATAGGGAAATAATTGAAAAAAATTTAAAGGTTTATAAGCTCGAAAAATTGCTACAGTATCTTACAGCTATTTTCATAATTCCTGGGATCCTGATAAAAATTAGCCAAATAATTTTATGACTGATACAGTTAATTTATTACTAGCCTTATGCACGTGCTTCGCTACGTGTTTAATCAGCCGCAATAAATTATTACTACAAAAATTTCGAATATCACATGATCAAATGAGATTATACACAAAATTTAAAATAAATAAAAATGAATAATTATAGTATACTTATTAATCGGAATAGTACAGTAGGCAGGAGGCGGAATTAGTTATATGTAGCTAGTTTATTAACAGATGTTGACTTTTAAAAAATGAGACCTACAAAGCAAAAATTTGAATTCTTTAGAAAATTAAATTATATAGGCAAATTTTTATATTCATAAAGGATTAGACAGAGCACTACCAGTGCTTTTGCTTTTGTCATTAATCAAACAATGTGATTGAGTTTGTGTGCATTTAAATAACTGGTCATTTTGTATCTTTTATAAATTGATTATTAATTCACTAATTGATTCTAATATTCACAATACATGGTTAAGGTTAGTGTTCCTATGAATCTGAACTGAACTGAACTTTGGTCAAGTTCAGGTTCAGGTTTAGTTCAATTATGTTCAATATTGAACTTTTAAGTCAAATTCATGTTCAGTTCATGTTCAGTATTGAACTTTTAAGTTAGGTTCATGTTCAGTTCAGATTCAGAATTGAACTTTTAAGTCAGGTTCATGTTCAGTTTAGGTTCAGTAGTGTTTTATAGTAAAATTTTTAGAATTTTCTATTTTGAAGATTTTTAAAAAAATCTTTTTTCTTTACTAAGTAAACCTATTTTCAACTTCTAAGAAAGTTGTAGAGGAGTGTCTTATAATCATAATGGCAGTTAAAACATCAAAATCGGCTTAGTAAATCATGAGATATAAGTATTTTAGTTCTCGTGACTATATGTTTTTTCTTTATATAAATAAAGAAGAAACAAATAGCTATTAAGATAAAAATACTCATATCTAGTGATCTTTGGGCCAATTTTAATGATTTAATAGCTATTATGATCGCAAGATACTCCTTTACAACTTTATTTAGAAGTTAAAGAGAGTTTTACTTAGTATAAATTTAAGATTAATAACATTTTGCATAATTTTATTAATAAAATTATAAAAAATCATATAATTCTCAAAATTTTACTAATTAATTATATCTTTATGTTCCAAGTAAACGTGTTCTACACATAAAACTACATCATAATAGCATATGTTTTCATAATAATTTTGAATTTTAAGAAAAATATTGTTAATTTTGAAAACTTTGATCAAAAATTCAAAATTAAACATATTTTTCTTAAATTTTATAAATATAACATTAAAATATACCAATATTATGTATTTTTATGTGCATAACAAGTTTACTTAGAGAATAAATATAGAATTAATTAATAATATTTTGAGGATCATAATGTTTTTTATAATTTTATTAATA